TGTTCTTTACACGCTGTCTCAATACAAAGCCTTATTACTAAATAATGAGGCTATAATTAAAACAAAGTTCAGATCCTAGAAAAATATTGGCTTGTAAAACATGAGTGTTGCCCGAGTTTAAAATAACCTCGGCACCCACAGCAAAAATTGTCAAAAGTAAGATGCAACCCAGCATGTGGTAGGTACTGAATTCAACCCCCAGCACTGAGAAAGGGAAGAGGAAGAGGGAAAAAGGGACGGAGGAAGAGCCTCAGAAAGGTGTCGCAGGGTGGGACAGGGATGGCTGTAACTTTACTAGAAACAGAGCACAAAGAATAAAACGAAGGGGTGACGAGACTCCGTTTAGCTTATGCTCCCAGAGCGTGACAAGAAGCCAAATGCCCGTTTTCGAAAAACATTTAGCCAGTGACGGTGGTCTTCAGAAGCTCAGTTTCTGAAGTAGAATGGGATGCCACTAAGCAAAAATCCTAGTCCACAAGAATTCCAGTACGGGCAGACCTTCTAGTGTCCACAATTAACACAGGCCACAGACGATCAGAATACCCTCTCCAGGACAGCACAACAAAGTGACATAAATCAGGACCCAACCCTTCTCTGTCCTGGTTGGGAGGGTAAAGCCTACGTGTGGTTAAATGTGTGAGTTGTGAAGGAGTTTAGAGACTGCCCCAGCTTAGAGTGGTGACCTTCTCACCACTCTAGACAGTAGAACAACAAAACGGCCCCTCCAATGAAGTCGCCGACGGGGAGCCGCTGTGGGACTCACCTGGGTTTGCAGGGCTGGGGTTCGAGCTCCGGCACACCGCGGGGACGCAGCGAACAACCCGCACGCAGCCGCCGCGCTCGCACACACTGAAGAAGAGTCTAGGCGCCAGCGGCGGCAGCTCCTCCCTCGACGGCTTTCCCAGCCCCAGCCTCCCGAGCCTGCAGCCCTTGCCCCGCCCTCCTCGAGGCCCCCACTTCCGGGTGATGCCGGAGCCCGGAAGCTGGACCGACTGGGGAAAACGGTCCACGTCACGTGAAACGGAGCGCGTACCCTGAGCTCCGTGCGCCCCCTGCTGCCCGCACATAGCCTCGCCTGAGATGGGTTAAGCGCTTGCCGTCCTCCTTGTCTCCCAACCCCAGTGCCTAGTGCAAACTCAACAAAAAGGGAAAAAAGGACGTGAAGAACAAAAAGAACTTGCCGTAAACCTTCTATATAGTTCGTCCTTCCCAGTTCGCTGTAATCCCAGCGCTTGAAAGGGTGGCGAGTTGGAACCAGTCTGGGCTACATAATGAGTTCCTGGCCAGACTGGGGTATAGAGTAAAATCCTGTCTCAAAAAAGATTTTTTTTTTCTCCAGGCTGCAGAGATAGCTCAGTATTTAAGAGCACTGACTTCCAGAGAAATAATGGCAGCTCACAACCAGTTGTTACTCCAGTTCTCGGGAATCTGATGCCCTCTTCTGGCCTTCTAGGGTACTGCCTATATCTGGTGCACATATGTACAAGCAAGCAAAACACCCATATACACGGAAAAAAATAATCTACCCAAATGACAGATGACAGAATGCTGCTGTAAACTGCTCTCTAACCCCACATACATGCTGTAGTTCATACTGACGCGAGCGCGCACAGACACACTCAGAAACACACACGATTATCTTGAAAAAATTATACAATGGGGTTGGAGTACCACAGTGACTGACAATTCCTTGAGTTTAATCCCCTGCAGGTGAAAATGCTTACCACCAAACCTACTGACCTAAGAGCTCTATCCCTGGTGGAGGGAGAGAAATCGCACAAGTTGTCCTCTGGTCTTCACACCTGGGCTATATATAGTGCATACAGCACACCCACAAATAAATACATGCAATAAAATAAATAAACTTCTTAAATAAAAAGGAGCTGGAGTGATGGTTCAGTGGCTAAAAGCACATATTGTCCTTGTAGAGGACCCAAATTCAGTTCCCAACATTCACACTGGGTAGTTCACAACCACTTGTAACTATAGCTCCATGGAACCCAACACCCTCTTCTGAACTCCAAGGCCACCACACCCAAATGTGCACATACCCACACACACATATACCCAAATTTTTTTTAATTAATTTTTTAAAGAAACTAAGGTGACTTAAGTGGGCTCCCAAATATCAACAAACTGAGTTATAACTGAAAGATGATTGGTGTTAAACTCAAAGAAATTCACGAACAAAATTATCACTACTCGCATGGTTTATACCTTTGGCCATTTGATACACATTTGTCCCCTCAACACAATGCAATTGTTGTTCAACTATTAAATAAAACTCACTCAATGGTAGGAACCAGGAAACCAGTTGTAAAGAAGCAGGATAGCAAGTCAGCTAGCCCTCTAGTCAATCTGGATATTGGTTTCTCTGTCACCTACCACATCTCTCTAAAATGTCGTCTCTGTCTCCATCCACCCTAATGCCCGGGAATGTTCAAGCATATTAACATTCCTTTCACAATTACTATATTGAGTGAACTTTCATAAGACTAAGACAAGGTTTCAGGTTTACTGGGAGTTACTAAGTACCTCCAAATTGCTTCCAGTATGACATTAATATATTCTTTTTTTTTCAAGACCGGGTTTTCCTGTAGCTTTGGAGCCTGTCCTGGGAACTAGCTCTTGTAGACCAGGCTGACCTCGAATTCACAGAGTCCCACCTGCCTCTGCCTTCCGAGTGCTGGGACTAAAGGTGTGCACCACCACCGGGCTGACATTAATATATTCTTAACAAAGTCGCCAGGCTAAGGAAAGAACATCTAGGACTGGAAAGATAGCCTTGTGGTTAAGAATACTACTTCCCAGAAAAGCTCACAACTGCCTTAACTCCTGCTCCAGAGTATCCAACACCATATCCTGGTCTCCGCTGGCACCTCCACACAGTGGCACACATAAAGAACACATCTTTTAGCTTTAAAAAAGGTAACATCTGGGAGTTGGAGAAATGGCTCGAAGGTCAAGAGTGTTGACTATTCTTCCATAGGTCCTGAGTTCAATTCCCAGAAACCACATGGTGGCTCACAACCATCTGTAATGATATCTGATGCCCTGTTGTGGTATGCATGTAAACATGCAGACAGAATACTGTATACATAAACATAAATAAATCTTAATTTTTAAAAAAGGCAACATCTGTATTCTCAAAATGCAAATGTTTTGTACTTGATAAGCTTAGCAAATTCAAATAACAAAAAATACATGGCAATTCCATTTCAGAGTAAAATTAAGAACAGAACTTTATGACATTCACCTTAATCTAAAAGTACTTCATAGTCCCTCAAAGCCTTTTAAAGGATTAGCAGTGCTTCTGAGGTAAAATGTCTCAATTCTTCAACCATAGAAATACATTACAGAGAAGTTAATAACTTTTCAAATCCAGGTAATAATAAAATTCCAAGATGCTAAGAAGTAAAAGTGACGCCATTTTCATGCAAATGTAGAACCTGCCTGACTGGGTGCAACAGGAAAGCACCAAGGTTAGAATGTTGTGGGGCCAAAGAATCAATGAACAACTCGTTCATTTCTACTAGTGGTTATGTAGTATTAAAAGCACCCGTCAAAGGAGGGCAAGATGAGTCAGTAGGCAGTGCACATGCTGCTGAATCTGGTGACCTGAGTTTATTCCCCAGAACCTTCAGGTAAATGAAAGCCTATTCCTGCAAGTTGTCCTGACTCTCACATGTACACCATGGTGAATGTGGGCACAAATACACACAAATTAAGTAAATGTAAAACATTACACACAGCTGACAACCATCATTTACCCAACAGAAGAAATCATGGTGACATTTACCTCACCATAAATGAATGCTAATTCTGAGGCTAAAAGGTATAGGATCTAACATGTTTAGGCACCCAAGTCTCTGGTTTAATCACATTTCAGATTAATTTGTATTTGAATGACTTAATACTAGTTTGAACATTTCCAGACTTCATAAAAATATTCAAGTTTCTTAAAAGGTGGAGACAGGGTCTCAACTACGTAGGATCTGACTAGCCTGGAAGTGGGAGTGATCCTCCGACATCCCCGCCTTGAGTCCTGGGGTTGAAGATATATGGCGCCACACCAAGCTTGAATTTTATCAAATAGTATAGAGTTACAAATCTTATAATCTTTTAGTAAGCAGAAAGTGTAATTCCTAGCAGATATATTTAAGAGATTGCTAAAGACAACTTCTATAACTCAGTTTTGGTTCTGAGAGGTCTCAAACCTTAACTAATAAAAATAACCTAAATAAACTTAATACAAATTCCTTGATAGGAATTCCGTGTTTTGCTTAATCAAGCATTATAAATGTAACTACAGACTACAATTCTAACCAGAAGTAATGGAGTATGTGATTCAATTGACATTTTGTTTAGTTGACATCTTCCACACCAAGTTCAGTGTCATATACTACACTTAGGAAAATTTCCCAAACCTAAATGTTACATTAATATTGCTAGAATTACAGAAAACCAACAGGAGAGGCCAATGAGTCAAGTATCAAAATTTATCTCTTTAAAGCCATGATTAACAGATACTCTTATTGTTACAATAACTAGGAAGTATGTGACAAATGCTCCCTATGGATTAAGGATTATGCTGAAAATCCACCACCCAATTAAGGCAAATATGCTATAGGGGCTGAGGAGCTAGTCTTTAGCAAATCTAGCTCATATTTACAGGATCATTAACTTGGGTTTGGTGACAGTCTAAATTCTCCAAGCAGGAGAGGAAGGGAATTAATGACAACTCCAAATATAACCATAAGGTAAAGGATACTAGGCATAACCTATCTGGACCAAACTCTTGACCCAGCTGTGGTTATTTGTTCACCAACTGTGATTTCAGCTTACCATAAAATTGCCTTTCAGAGCATAGATTGCCCTCAAATCACTTCAAAGAAAAAAGCTGTTTTAAGAGATGGTACAGCTATGACTCAAATACAATGCTTAAATAAATGAAAAGTCATCACGCTTGGCTTCATTTACAAAGAAAGCAAAACATAAAATGAAGGTTTCAAAGGTACTTTATTTTTTCTTCAATATGCCATATTTTAGTGAATACATGATTCTTTGACTTGGCATCACTTATAGATTGGTTTTGAAACAATTCCTTGATTATTGCACCAGCTGGCATGACTATTGATCTCTCCATTCCTTGGGGGTGACTCTGCCAACAGGTGACAGGTTCCATGCTATTCCAATTTGTGTTGCTGTCTGTAAAAATTAAAAGGCTGTCAGTTATACATATTTAAACCACAGTCCGCTTTCTCAATTTGGAAACTCTTCAAAATCACAAAGAATTCTGCTCCTTAGGTAAATAACAAACAGAAAGTCACCAGGAATATAGTGCTTTTCATAGAAGTCAAAGCTAATTGCTGTACTAATTCTTCACGTCAGGTTGCTTAACTTAACGTTCAGCGTTGAAGGAAATGTTCTAAACCTACACTGTCCAATATAGGAATCGCTGGCCACATCTGGCTGTTAAATACTTGGAATGTGACTAGAAGACTGAGAAAATAAATTTTGAAGCTTGTTCTTAATTCAAAATTATATTTTACATTTTCTTCACCTCCAAAATTTTGCCTGTCTACCACAACTACCTAGGAGAACTCATTTTATTTTAATATCTGAGTTCACGGCTGAGGTATAGACCATTAAAGGTGCATGAATATGCTTCGATACACAAGACCCTGGGTTCAATCCCCAGCACCCAAATTAATAGTTATCTTTACTTTCAGGCAAAGACTGGGTTGTCCCTTTTGTTTTATTGAGATACAGTTCCATGTAGATCAGGGTGGCCTCAGACTTGATAAGTAGCTGAAGATGACCCTGGACTCTTGATCCTCCTGCATCCCTAGTATTGAAATTATAGACGTGTGCCACTTCACTCAGAAATCTGTATCACTTATACCCAAAATATATTCATTAAAATTTCAAAATTACACTTTTGAAGATCGAGCAACTAGAAAACAAGTTAGGCACCAGACGCAGAGTTCGAGAGTATGGAAAACAAGTTACACTTCATCTGTCAAGAAAATCAGACTCAGGTTTTGGGGTTTTTTTGTTTGTTTGTTTTGTTGTTGTTGTTTTTTTTTTTTGAGACAAAGTCAACTATGTAGCCTAAGCTGGCCTCAAACTTCTTATAGTTCTAGCGGGTCTTATTCTTCCAATGTACTTGCCTCAGCATCCAAAGTGCTGGGATTGCAGGTATGTACCACCACACTTGGCTTGTGCCTCAGTTCTGATTACCGAATTTTAGAAGGAAATCTGATCACTTAAGTATGTCCAGGAAGGTGACTCAAAATATGAAAATCCAGAAAATATACAACAAAAGTCTGACCTACAGATGTCTTAAACTTAACAAATTAAAGACACTATGCCAATGGTTTTGGGGTTTTGTTTGTTTGGCTTTTTTTTTTGGTGCTGTGAATTGAACCCAGGGCCCAGTCAATATTAAGCATGTGCTTTACAACCTACGACAAAAGTCTACTAGCTGATGGCTATCATATGGAAACATGATGGGTCAGAATTTCTGTGTTGCAATAATTACAAAGGGAAGCATATTTAACTCAACATTAGAATTTTTAACTTTTTTAGAGATAAGGTCTCACCGTATACACTACATAGCCCAGGCTGATCACACACTTGAAATCCTCTTGTCTAAGTCTTTCATGGGCTGGATTACAGACATATACCACCATGCTTGGGATCCACAAATAAGACCCTTCTAACAGCTGCACAATCTAGAAAAGGGCTGCCTTGTGCTCCAACAAGCAATTTGTTACTGGAAACATTAAGAAGATGGATGAATGCTAAATGCAAATAAAGACAATGGGTGGATGATCAGACAGTCTTTCAAATCACTCATTCACTAGAAATTTAACATTTCCAATAATACATGGACTAGATGAGAATAAAATATATTTAAATGAAGAACCACTGAGTCTGAGAGTATAGCTCAACGGCAGAGCATTTGCCTAACATGTATGAGACCTGGGGTCAATCCATAGCACTGCAAATAAAAAAATAATAATCAACTGAAGTACTTACATATGTCCATGCAGAAATACAGAAGAGGCCTCCAGCCACTAATATAGCATTTCCATATTTGTCGTGGAAATTAGGTGCCCGTTTCTGATGGCTGTGTCTTGCCACCACTTGCTGAATGCTTTGAACTTAAAAAAAGAGAACAGAAATATATGTGTTCATTATTAAAACAGAGAGAACACAACTGCCAAACAGGAAAGCAAAGGTAGTAAACTCTACATACTACCATGCAACTCAACTAAATGTTAACCACATTACACAAAGGAACAAGTGGCCTGGAGGTGGTGGTGCACACCTTAAATCCCAGTGTTCCGGAAGCAAAGGCAGGCAGATCTCTGTGGGGTCTGAGGCCAGCCTGGTCTACAGACAGTTCTGGAACAGCCAGCCTACACAGGGAAACCCTGTCTCAAAAACAAAAACAAAAAACAAAAAATAAAACAAGAACAAGTAAACACCTTCTCAAATACTCTGAAAATAAGATAAGCTGCAAGATCCTGGGGCTCACACCTGTAATCTCAGCACTTGGGAAATGGACAGGAGGACTGCCATGAGTTTAATAGTAAAGTGGGCTACACAGTGAATTCTAGGCTAGACTGAGCTACACAGAGATGCTCTATCTCAATGTGTGTGTGTGTGTGTGTGTGTGTGTGTGTGTGTGTGTATCTGACACATAGGCAGAAGCAGGATTAAACAAACATAACAAAATGTTAATATAATTGGCCAATGTTCTTCACGCAATTCTCAATTTTGGATTCCTAAAAATTTTCAGGAAAAAAAATGGAGGACGTAAATGATGGCACACACCTTTTCACCTAAGTTATCCAGAGGCAGAGGCAGATCTCTGTGAGTACAAGTCCAGCCTGATCGATAGATTAAACTATACAGTGACACCGTCTCAGAAAATGGTTGGAGAAAAAAAGTGGTTGGAGGAAAAGAAAAATTGAAGGTGTATATCAGTAATGGTTTAAATACCATCCACTAATTTGAATACCTATGACTTCAATTTCCACTAAAATTTACCCAACATTGCTCAATAATTTAAAATACACAAGGGAAAATGAACCAAAAATCATCATATTTATACACACCCAATGTTTATTGCCTTAAAATTACAACAAAATAACTCCAAACTATAGTAAGCTAAATTTTAAAATAATTAGTAATAACGCTCAATTATATTAGAGTATATAAGCAGGCAAGCATATTTGTAATCCCAGCACTTGAAAGGTTGAGGCAGGATCAGGAGTGGAGCCTAGAATGCACGAGACTCTGTCTCAAAAAAATAGTGTAGAGGGAGAGTGGCTAGAAAGATGCTTTGGTGGTTAAGTACACTGGCTGCTCTTCTAGAGGACCTGGGTTCAATTCCCAGTACCCACATGGCAGCTTACAACTATCTGTAACTCCAGTTCCAGGGGATCTGACATCTTCACACAAGCATACAGGAAGGCAAAAACGCCAATGCACATAAAATAAAAATGATTTTAAAAATAGAATATATAAAAATGTATAAGATAGAGACTTTATCATTAGGCAATTTCTAGCCTACAAGTGAATATTATATATGAAGACAAAAAATCACTGTAGTACAAGAAAATAGAATTAATTGAGTACCTGTCTATATAGATGTAGAAATGTGGAATTAAAATTGACAGATATAGATCTACTGTGCCAGAAAGCCAATCAAGTTTTGATGAAGAACAAGGTATACAGGCAAGTTAATAAGAAATAAAACTAGAAAGAAGTGGTAAATACCAAGAAAAACTATCAGTTTTGTTTTTTCCTTTCCAACCTAGGTATCACACCCTTATTGTTTTAAGGTGCTTACAGTTACAGTGGGAAAAGAGCAATGCTGGTTTGCGATGTGCTGGTTCACACCTGTACTCTCTGCCCTTGGAAGGCTTAGGGAGAAAAACTGCCCTCAACTTTAATGCCAGATTAATGCTTGACCATTTCAAAAATAAAAGCAAAACAAAAATGCTGCCCACTAATACTTAAAATGTAATAGTTTCAGGCTGGGATTATAGTTCAGTAGCAGAGCTTTGGGTTAAAACCCCATCACCTCCCAAAAATAAAATAATAATGGTCTCTATGAGGTATAATCATGATAATTTCTTAACCATTATATACTTCTTTAGCTATTTTACTTAGCTTTCATTTTAGCCAGCCACACCCAGAAAAATGTAGCTCAGTTGGTGTGGTGCTTGCCGCATTTCCTGGACTCGGTCCCTACGCTGCAGAAGCTGCAGAAACACAAGTGTGCGTGCACACGAACACCCGCGCATGCACATATGCATGCACGCGCATGCACACTCGCACTTAAGTCTCTAAAGGTGCTAAGTACCTGTTATCCCAGCACACGGGAAGTAGAGGCAGAAGGATCAGAAGTTGAAGATCATCTTTGGTTCCATATTAAGTTGGAGGCTAGCCTAGTCTACTTGAGACCCTCCCTCAGAAAACAGCCACATCCGGACTAAGCAAATTCATAAACATTTCTTAATGTATTGTGCTCCTAAAACACTTAGAGGTGAGTATAGAAATTCTACATTGAGAAACAACCTTTTAAGATCACCTTTTCCCGCAGGATAAAAATCCCTAAATCACTTAAAGATCAAATAAATTGAGATTACCAAACCACTGTTGTTTTCAACACTCTGATTTACCAAGTGGATTTTCTTAAGTCTCTCTATATTAAAAAGGGGGGTTGTTTACTGATCAGATGTTGGTTAACAAACTTATAAAATACGTATTATTTACTAATCTCTCTTTTGCAAAAACAAGGAAACAAGTTCAAAATGTTAAATGATTTGCCCTAAATTAAAGAAATAATAAACACAGTTACTGGCTTACAAAACATCAGTTGGGCTTCTATTTTTCTCAACTATTCCTAAAGTACTTCAGTGTTTAGAACACAATTTCTTACACTACTATCTCGGTAAAATAAAAACATGGTTAGAGAAGCAAGCTAAAGATACTTGTATAAGGTCACCTCTATTCACATTACTGAAGGTCACCTTCAAAGGAAAGCAAGTATGAAAATGATTTTTTTCTCTCCAATCCAGTGTGTTCTTCATATATAATACTAGTCTCAAATTTCCACGTACTTGCCTAACTTTCAAACAGGAAAAATTGACCACAATTGTTTTCGCAATAGTTAATGGTCCGTTGATAACCTACAGATGACTAAAGCTGTCAGGCTACCACTTAGGGTTTCCCCTTGCTATGAACTCATGTGAGGTAGATTTAGCTTCCTACCACCGTTACAGTGTAAGATCAGTTCATCTATTTGGGGTAGCAAATAAATACACTCCCAAAGCTAAAATTTAGAGCATCACATAAGGGGAGCCGCCAGGTGTCCGCCAAGCGGTCTTCCTGGAAATCATAGATCCCTGAAGGATTGAGAATGCAGAACTAGGCTAGGAACACAACGAAATGAAAAAGCCACTGTCACGGCTATCTTTCCAGTGAGTGGCTATCTTCCCAGGGTCCCGAGACCACGCAGGGCACTGTGCACCTAGAATTAAAAGTGCAGGATGCTGGGGAGGAAAAGGGCACGAGAGCACGAGGACAGACGGATCCGCGGCTGCTGTAAGGACTCGCCCACACTCACCTTGGAGACGGCTTAGTGCGTTTTTGGCTAAGGGCAACATCGCGGAGAAGAAGATGGAACTGCGGTGACGACCGGTGCTGCCTCCGTGCAGATTCGACCCAGCTACCCTTGCAAAGAGCCCTGAAAAACAAAATGGCTTCCAGTGGGGATTCCGTACGGTATTTGGTGAGTTCTCGCGAGATTTGAGATTGACCTATAGAAATAGTGATCCTGTTTCCTGCAAAGAAAAAGAAAGGCCTTTGGGAAATGTAGTTTCAAGCTTCGTAAGAGCCATAGACTAGTATTTACTGAACCGTGAGGTAACTCTGGGACTCTGCAAAAGAGAGCTGAGACACCAACCATACTTAAGGCACCAGCTTCAAGATGGTGCTGAAACTCCAGAGGTTTGGGTTAGCCGTCTCACTTCAAACTATTCTCACTTCAAATTTTTCATTTTCTGTCTTCTATTACCTATACTAATTGGTTTAACTTTTAATTATTTTTGTAATTTTTGGGAGGGATGGTTGAGACAGGGTCTCTCTATGTAGTGCTGTCTGGCCTATGCAGTTGAGGCTGGCCTCTGCCTCCCAAATGCTGGGATTAAAGGTGTGCACCACCATGCTCAATTTAATTTTTAATCTTGAAATAAATCCAAATTTAGAGAAAGCCTGCAAAAAAAAGTTTTGTTTTATTTTTGTAAAAAAAAAAAAAGAAGAAGAAGAAGAAGGAGAATTTTAAAAACCGAGTATGGTAATGCACACCTTTAATCGCAGCACTCTGGAGGCAGAGGGAGGAGGATCTCTGTGAGTTCGAGGCCAGCCTGGTCTACAAGAGCTAGTTCCAGGACAGGCTTCAAAGCTACAGAGAAACCCTGTCTCGAAAAACACTGAATAAATAAATTGAATGGAGTGAGTCCATTCATTTTATCTGGCAAAAATACTATGGAACAGATTAATCTTCGTAAGGAATTATTTGTAAGACAAGGTCTCCCTGTGGAACACAAGCTGGCTACAACTCACTATGTAGCCTAGACTTGCCTGCAATTCTTCCACGTTAGCTTCTCTAGTGTCCTGGTTAGAGAAATAATGTACTAACCAAGTCCTGCTTCTTAGAGTATCCAATCAAAAGGTATATGACCTTAGCATGTCCCATTATTGATATAATCATTTAATCAAAGCCATGTGCTCCAGATTTCTATACTTTAAAATCACTGCTGTCCCTTTGTAATTAAAAAGTATCTTGTGGGGAATCTCCTGAGTAAATTGGGAGCATGGGAATCATGGAAGCGAGTAAAAGGGGAGGAGAAAGGTAGGGAGGGGAGAAGAGAAAATACATAGCTCAATAAAAGCAATAAAAAGAACAAATACATCCTAAAAATTTTTTAAGAGAGAGTTTGGCAAAAAAGAAAGTGAGTAACTTATAAAGAATGCATTGTGACTAACAATCCTGGTTTGGTTTGGTTTGATTTGTTTGGTTTGGTTTTCGAGACAGGGTTTCTCTGTAGCTTTGAAGCCTATCCTAGCACTTGCTCTTGTAGACCAGTCTGGCCTCGAACTAACAGAGATCCACCTGCCTTTGCCTCCTGAGTGCTAGGATTAAAGGCATGCACCACCACTGCCTGATGACCATCCTATTCTGAATCAAGTTTTGATTCGTTATGCTTTGTGTCCATTGGGGATTCTGTACCATATTGTGTTCCTATGGTCATATATCTGAAGTAATCTAAGACAGCATACAACAAAAACACTTGAATACCCATGCTTATTTTAGTATGCTTGTTTGCTTATGTCTTTGTTTCTTTCTTTGAGACAGGGTCTCATCCTGTAGCCCAGGCTGATCTGGAATTTACTATGGAACCAAGGCTGGTCTCAATCTCATGGCAATATGCCTGCTTTAGCTTCCCAAGAGCTAGGATTATAGACGTGAGATGCCACACTTTAAATTTTTCTTTTAAATTTTTGAGATAAGCCCATATTAGCTGATAACTCACTCTGTAGTTCAGATCGGCTTTGAAATTACAGTCCTTCTGCTTCAACCTCCAGAGTAGCTGGAATTAAGCTGCCCCTTGAGGCCAGGTTTAATTTTTTCATATACTGTTTTCACATTTTTTTCTCTTCTTTGAGACTGGGACTCACCATGTAACCCAAGTGGGCATCAAACTTGTGATCCTCCTGCTTCTACCTGCCAACTGCTGCGATTACATGCATATGCCACCACATGTGGGTATTGTATTGTCTGTCTCTTCTCTCTGTTTTAACGAGACAAGGTTTCTTGTAGCTCAGGGTGAAACTCCCTACGTAGCTCAGGCTGATATTGAACCCCTGAACCTCCTGCCTCTATCTCTTGAGTGCTTGGCTTACAAATATGCACCACCATGGTCATCTTATTTCCTATCTCTTTATGTTGAGACCAGTTACTTTCAACGCGCATCTCCTTAACTCTCCAAATAATCGAATAATTCTGTGAGGATTTTGCTTTCCAATAGGACCCAAAAGAGTAATCATATAATATGTTCCACACACTCAAAATAAATGCAACTTGGACTTGAGAGGTAACTCTGTGGTAAAATGCTTGCCCAGCTTTACTGGGGTCCTGTACTCAATCACCTGCACTGCAAATAAGTAAATCCAAATTATAAGTAGATTGCTTTTATTTTGCTGTTATTTGTGCTTTTTCTTCTTGAGGGCTTTATCATTGTCAAGTGAATCACCTCAGTTTTATAATTCTCTATAATACAGTAAACAGAACTGGACCAAGAAACGGAAGCTGCCTCAGCTGAAAAGCATTATCTTTAATTTTAGATAAGAGTAGTGGATGTTTGATGCAAACTTGCTGAGACTACTAAAGATCTTTAAACAGAGGGACATACTTCTTCACAATCTTACTTTTGCTCCCACCAACAAAACAAACTAAATAGTAAAAAGGCATGTGTTTTCTGCAATGCCCTCTTGGTCCTCTAAGTTTTTAGTGAAGAGTTTAAAAATGCCTTTAATAAATTTGAAACCCTTCTTTAGGGACCATGACAATTGTCTTTGCGTTATTCCAAACTTAGTATATGTGCTGCCAAAAAGCCCCCCCAAAACTACACTTTTTAAATTTTTATTTGCATGTGTGTGTGTGTGTGTGTGTGTGTGTGTGTGTGTGTGTGTGTGTAGGCACCCATATACTATGGTGTCTATGTGGAGGATGAAAGACAGTTTGCAAGAGTTGCTTCTCTACCATGTCGGCCCCGGGGGTTGAATTCATTTTGGGTTTGGCAACAAGTGTCTTTACCAGTCCACACTTTTGATAGGTCTAAGGTATGTAGCCCAGGCTAGCCACAAACTTGTAGTAATCTAGCCTCAGCCTCCCAGTGCCGAGATTACAGCCTTTTCTTTCATGTGAGGGGATACCGATAAGTTTTCTGTCCCCTGATAATAGGTTTCTCCACCCATTTATTAAGCCAGATCAAGCTGAATTTGAAAAAGTAGAACAGGATTATTTGAGCAAAGCAAATTCAGGGTGGGTTCGCTAGTCCCAGAGATAAGGCTGGAGAAGCCACACATCTGAAATAAAGCAGGGAACCTATATAGCCTGTAGGCGAGAAGTGGTGACACGTCTGCCACAAACTGGTTTTGTGCCCAAGTATGGTCAAAAGCTGAATGCTTAGGCAAGGGTTTGCAGAGAGAAAGAGACAGGAATGTTTTTTTTTCCAGATCATGCAGGGTGATCTGGAGGTTTCAACCAAATACATGTATATGTATATTTATATACACACATATAACATATACGTTATATGATATATATTATATGTTATGCGTGCACACGCAGACACACACACACATATACATACATATACATACAGGTTTTCCATGTCGAGCTCTGACCGACTGTACTGGAACTCCCTCTGTATACCAGGCTGGCCTCGAATTCACAGATCCACCTACATGCCATCTGCCTTACGAGTGCTGGGATGAATGGTGTGCACCATCATGCCTGGCTAGAATATTGTTTTATTATTTTAAACCATATGTATTTTTGTCTGTTTTAGCATGTGCACCTAGAACAGATGTCTGAGGAGCCCATGAAATCCTGGGCCCAAGAATTGGAGTTACAGACAGTTGTGAGCACCTCACCACGGGTGATGGGAACAGAACTCAAGCCATCTTCAAGAACAGTATGCACTGAAAAAAGGAAAAAAGGAAGCAGGGTGGTGGTGGCATATGCCTTTCATCCCAGGAGTCAAAGGCAGGCAGATCTATGAATTCAAAGACAGCCTGGTCTACAAAGTAAGATCTAGAATAGATAGCCAGGATTGTTACACAGAGAAACGCTGTCTCAAAATACACACACACACAAAAACTGTGTGTATATGTTTGGGCCACATGGAAGTATGTGCACCAGGTCCCTGTGGACGGCAGAATAAGGCATCAGAACACCCACCCCCCAACTGGAACTTTGGTCGGTTGTTAGCTGCCATGGGGGTGCTGGGAGTGTCCTTTGCAAGAACAGCTAAATATTCTTAACTGAGACATTTCTCCAAACGCTCGTCCAGATTAACTAAAGTATGTTTCTAAAATACGCTTTTTGATCTAAGATCTCTTGTAGCCCAGGCTAAATTGGAACTCTGAAGGTTTGTTTAATTTTTTGAGCTTCTAATCCTCCCATTTCCACCTCCCAAATGCTGAGATTTTGGTTGTGAGAAACCACGAGGGTTTTTTTTTTAAGACAATCTTACATTGCTCAGGCTGGCCAGGGACCCTGGCAATGTAGCCAAAAACGACCCAATGTTTGGATTAGAGGCTTGCATTTGAAACAATTCTAAACGAACGCCGTCTGGAGGATGATTCCACTTTTAAACGTACAAACCATTTTGTTCAACACTTCCCTCCAAAAAAATACAAGCTCAGCCTTGCACAGCTGCGCATGCGCATTAAAATTCGCAACTCGCGTCGTCTTCACGCTCCACAAAAGGGGCGGTGCAGCCTTTTTAGCAAACCAATAAGAAACCTCCAGATTATCTTTTCCCTATTGGCTCCCTGGAACCAATCGGAAGCGAACAGCTTTTTTTTTTTTTTTAAGCGGGCGTCTGCGGCGCGTGACGTAATGTGAGGGGTCGCCCGGCAGGGCTGAGCCGGGCCAATGGGGAGCGACAAGGGTTCGGCTCGCCCATTCTCACGCTCCACCCTC